GGTGGTACCTATTTATCTACTCGCATTTGAATGCTTTCAAACTTCTAGCTTGGCAGGAGCTGGGATAAGCGACGGGGGCTCACTCTGTTGTGTGGATTCACTCTTACGACGGCTGGTCTTCTGACCTTGCAGCATAGAGGCTTCTGCGGTTTAACCCGCAGCGCCACCCACAACCCGAAAACTCAAGATATTTGGGTTTAAATTGCTGCTTACTCTTAGAAACCCCTTGGAGATGGTCTCAATGATAACCCCCTCTGTTAACATCTCAAATATACTTTTCAAACTCTATAAGGGTCACCATAAGTCGGAAAAGAGTTGATGATGAGCAGCGTAAAGGCTGTTATTCCACTGTTTATCAGTAGAGGGCATGCATGGTCAGGCTCAATAGGTGAATATACCAGCAGAGTTGAGTTTCACCAAAGCCTATAATCTTCCCTGTTAATCAAAGGACTTGGCCTCAATTAAGGAGACAAATCCAGCAGGATTTGAACACCATCCCCTCTTTATTGGACACCCAGTCACTGCCTCCCCGGGACCTTTAAAGGGCCTCAAGTTTTGAAATGTAATAGCAACATTGAACACCAATGTGGTGTCTTTCAACATTGCTATTACATTTCAAAACCCAAGGCCTTAGTGCTGTTTCCATAAGGCGCTCGTTTGATTTCTGTCAATTAAAAGTTACCATCTATTAAAAATATATATAAAAGAGTCCAGTAAATATCTCAACAGAAGGTGGTTTCAAATCTCAGATTACTCTGGGCGTCAAAAGTTGACTCTCCCCATGATGGGGATTAGGATCTTTTAAGTGTGCTTTGAAAGGTTGTTTTTCGTTTTTCTATCATTATATCATCCTGCGTTTAATTGTTCCCAATTGTTACATTCCTTTTTGGCTTTACATACTTGTATTGTAATTATCGTGAGCCTTCTTGAGCCTCTTGATGGGAGAAAGAAATAACAAGCAATAAATAAAGGAATGAAATTCACAAATTCTAGAAGGGGTTCTACGTCACCATCTCGGCTTAGGCTGGGGACCGTTTTATGACCCTCCACCCTATGCCTCATCCACTCTGTGGGGAAATGGTGTGACAGAGTGTCAACGATATAGGGTGAAAACCAGGTTCTCCAAAGACTGGTTTCTCCACAGTCTTAAAGACTTAGAACACCCCATAGTCTCACTCACCCATTGGCGGAGTAGCGAGCGTCTGCCGTCCCACGATTTGCGCTGGTCCAAGGCCATCTAAAAAGTCGCTGAACTGGCTTTCGGCTCCCAGCCTGGTCGTGGGGAAAATAAATCTAAAGGCAAGGGTGACAGCAGACAGAAAAGGGTGACGGGATGGAACAGACAGCGCGGCAGCAGAGAAGCGGATTTCCCTGCGGCAGGCATGAGAAGCCACGCAGCTGATTCTGTACCCTTCTAACCTTGCATTTCTGGCAGGTCTTGAGTCAGACTTGCATCGCTAGAGAGCAGGAAGGATCTGTTTTTAAGACTATAATTCCCACAGTGTCACAGGCCACCTAACGATGAGGATTAAGGATCTGGGGAATTATAACCCCCCAAGAAAACCTCATCTTTGTGAAATTCTTCTCCAAAAAAGAAAGAATGGCTGAATTCATCTAAAAGTCGCCCTTGTCAAGCAGTGGACTTTGTCAATGGGAAGGACCTTTTATGTGTTGTCTCCTATTGGCGACAATGTCAGAAGTTCCTCTTTAGGAAGGGTGTGAAAGACGCTGTTTTTGACCATAAAGAAGTGTTGGAAAACAGGGACTCAGATCACCAAACGTCTTGCCCCTTTGAGATCTTTGTTCCGTCCGCTAGCTGGAGAGAATTCAGGATAAATATCGCCTAACAGGAAAACCTCTGATCTTTCTCTGTCATGTTTATAAGTGTGGCAGCTATACAATACAGAAGGCTGGGGTCAAGACAAAGGCGGGCCTTACGTGCCGTCCGAGCTGTTACTGTTGGTGCTTCCGTCCGTCGATTCCCGGCTGCCTTGCCTTGTGACCCGGTTCCTCATCTCCACCGCGATGCCGGTCTCTGTGCTTCGGCGGATGTTACTCCGAAGTTTTTTTGGCCCACCGTCTGGAAAAAGGCAGGAATAGTTACACCAAGCAGAGTGGGAGAAGACGTTCAGGGTCTGTAAACGTTTCCTTAAGTCGACTGTTTTAGATTCTAATAAATGAAAAAAACTGTGTGCCATCCAGTCAGAGTTCTGACTTATGGCCACCCTTTTCAGGGTTTCCGAGATAGTGGAGGCTCAGAAGTGAAATTCCCTTCTTCTCTTGGGACTCTTGTGCAGCTGGCCCAAGGCTACCCAGGCTGGCTCTTCTCCCTGGGGGCCCAGTGGGGGATCGAACCCCCAACCTCTGTCTCCGCAGCCAGAGACCAAAACCAATGCGCTCTCCTGCTAGCCCTAGATTTCTTATTCTCTCTTAATTTGGGGGATCTGAACGTAGAGAGGCATAGATTTGAAGAGACCATCGGATTCTTGAGAATCCAGTTTTGGTGCAAATGTATGCTCTATAAATATCTTTCAGTCCGAACATCCCGTGCGAACCTCCAACCTCTGTCTCCGCAGCCAGAGACCAAAACCAATGCGCTCTCCTGCTAGCCCTAGATTTCTTATTCTCTCTTAATTTGGGGGATCTGAACGTAGAGAGGCATAGATTTGAAGAGACCATCGGATTCTTGAGAATCCAGTTTTGGTGCAAATGTATGCTCTATAAATATCTTTCAGTCCGAACATCCCGTGGTGTAGCAGCTTGGGATAGGCTGTTGGGAACTACAGTTTGTGGCCAGGGAGGTGTTCGTTCAGCCCTCTTGCCAACCTATCGGTTCAAGATCTTTTTGGGTGAAGTCGTGGCAGTGAAAACAGGATGAAACTAATTCATTTTTTTATCTTTCCCTGACGAAAGAGAAGCGGCTTCACATGGCCAGCGCACTCCCTACAACAGGTCTCTGATCCCTGCACCGCCAGCCCCCACCGATGCTGGCTCTTTGATAAATTATTCACAGGGATTTATGCAGCCTGGAGCGGGGAGTGTGTTCAAAAGCCCTTGAATGCCATCGGTCGCTCCATTCCTCGATGTGGAAATGCTGACACGGCCCTCCGAAGCAAGCAGGATGGTATCCCGAGAGCCGTACATGAGTTTCCAAAATGGGTTTCTGGTGCCTGGGCTCAGCTGGCAGACACGTGACATTGTGTGGACGGAGCATACCTGAACATGTGCAGAGAGCAGCTCTCTAACCCCTGCACTCCCAGACTCAACCATCTACAGCGCTAGCAGCAGAAATCAGTGGTGAAGAGACCGCAAGAGAGAGCAATCAGGGACACTTAAGCTGTCCATCATCTACAGGAAGTATCATCCTGGCAACTGCCTCAGCAGCAGGGCCAGGAGTCAGATGGTACCTATCATCTCAACCTAGTCCTGTAATTCTGTGCAAAACTCTCAGCGTCTCATTTCGCATCTGCACCCTCGCCACCTGCAATTAGCACACACCGCTGGATGCAAATTAGTGTTTTCTTCGTAAGCCATGCGTGCCCGGCGTTTGACAATGAGTTGGCTGCTTCAGATCACACCTTTGCCAGAAACTCGTCAAGGAGAGTTAAATAAACAGAGATTCATGCCTGGAGCCAGAAATGCTGGACTCGGGGTGGTCTGCATACGAGACGGACCGGCTACAGATCCAGTTTGAAACAAGCCAAGTTAGCCGATTCTAGGTGAGTCTGTTGCCAATTGAACACCGCAAACCCATTCTAATCAAAAGTTCATCCCCCCCCCATCGTTGCTGTTGTTAACACACAATAAAGTCTCCTCTGACTTACGGCAACCCAGCCAAGTGACCTTCATAATATCATCTCCTCGGCAGCCCTACTCAGCTCTTGTCAACTCAAAGAGCATGGCTTCCTTGAGATTCAATCCATCTCATATCCAGTCTCCCTCTTTTCCTGCTGCCTTCACCTTTCCCAAGCGTTATTGTCTTTTCCAGACCGTGTCACCTTCCCATAAGGCGCCCAAAGTTGGACAGCCTCAGTTTCATCTCTTTTTTTTGCCTCCAAAGAACGTTCAGGCTTGGTTTGTTGTAGGACCCACTTGTTTGTCTGTCTGTTGGAGGGGGAGCGGTTTCCACTGCTAAGTCTCAGATACTCCAGATAGCATGGAGAGAGATATTGTGAGTCATTCTTCCCCCCAAAAAGGGAACATTTCTAGTTGTGATCATGAGATATCCTCATTCTTTCGGTGGAACCCACCCTCCCCTGAATGGATTAAGGACGGAAACTCTGCTCTCTTTGTAATCAGGTTGGTCTTCCTTTCTATCCCATTGCTTGCTATGTAGACTAAACACCAATGCATTTCCTTGAGCATCTCCTTGATTTTGATATCTGAAGAGGCGCGCTTTTCATATCGTAATTCCCTGGTCTCAAGCAGCAAACACAAACACACACACACACCATGTTTCAGGCATGACTTCTGTGTAAGAGCAGGGAGGCGAGTTCTAAAGCTGTTCTTTGCATGCGAGAGATTTTGTGCCTCTCCCCACCCCATCCGATTCCCGCATGCAGCTTCCACATCTCCATCACTCAGCACATACTGGGAGGGGGGGGCTCAGCTCCCCACTTGCCGAGGCCGCTTGCAGATCACACACATGGGGAGCCTCACATGGATGGCCCTCCTGCCGAGCCTCTGGAGGTTCCAGAATGAAAGAGCTATTTTTAAACACTCCCAAATCCAGACGCAGAACCCCCCCCCCCGGAACACCGTTGGGGGGCGTTGGCCCGGAGGCTGGGTTCAGAGTTACAAATTGAGTCCGAGTCATTGGAAAAAAGACACAAAGAGTCGGACACGACTAAACGACTAAACGACATTGGAAAAAAAACAACCCCACACTCTCAGTTGAGTTGAGTCACTGATGCAACTTCTATCTGACTTTATTGCATGTCCTGTAACTTGAGTCCCCTCCCCTGATATTCAGAGAGCTCAGGAGCTGCTAAGCCGGTCTGGATGCTCAGCTTGGCGCTAAATTCCTACAACAGGAATCACTAACACATAAGGATGGGGAAAGTTGCTTTCTACAAATTCTCTCTCTCTCTCTCTCTCTCTCTGTGTTAGGTGTTGTGAAGCTGGAACTGAATTATAGCCACCCTGATAGAACGTTGAAGGTATAAATGGGACACTGAAGGAGTGCTTTTACCAGTTCCTCTCTCTCTCTCTCTCTCTCAGTCGGCTTCCATGGCTGAGCAGGGATTCAAACCTTGTTCTCCAGAGCCCTTGTCTGTCACTCTATCCAGGACACCACACGGGGATATTTTTTTTTAAAAAAACTACAACTCCCCAAACACTCTAGCCTGGGGGGCTGGCTGTACCGGCTGGGATATTTTAAGAGGCTGAGGAAAGAAGGGTTATTGGAATGCTGCATTTACTGAATTCAGCTGAAAACAAGGTTTTAAAAATGTTTTTAACTGTGTTTTTTTTTAACACTGTGATGTCCTTAATTGTTTTTTAATAGTATAGTTTATGGTGTTTTTAACTGTGACTTCTGTATTGTTTTTAACACTATGAGCCATCTTAAGCCCCTTATGGGAAAAAAGATAGATAGATAGATAGATAGATAGATAGATAGATAGATAGATAGATAGATAGATAGATAGATAGATAGATAGATAGATAGATGGAAGGACGGACGGATGGACGGACGGATGGACGGACGGACGGACGGACGGATGGAGAGAGAGAGAGAGAGAGAGAGAGAAAGAGATGGATGGATGGATGGATGGATGGATGGATGGATGGATGGATGGATGGATGGATGGATGGATGGATGGATTTTAGCAACCTGTTTTAACACTAACATTTTCATCAAAATTGTATCTGCACATTCAAATATTTGCCAAAACTGGATCAATGAGGGAGGCCTGTGACTCTCAAGGCAGAAACAAAGGAACCGGTCCACAAGCACTGAGCCGTGACATTTGGCAGAGGAGTGCAAAACACGGAGGAAAATGACTTCCCTGCTTTGTTCCAGCATGGCGTAGGAGCGCAAGCAGTTTCAAAACATGGCAACTCTGTGAAGGAAAACTGGCAGACAGATCTCAACGAGACACAAAGTAGGTTAAAAGCAAGCAAGCAAGCAAGAAGTGGTCTAAAACATTTAGCTGGGCTCCTTTGCATGCTCTGTGTTTATTATTATTTTTTCCCTCATCAGCATTTCATATGGGCCTGGAGTCTCATTTGCAAGTTGCCATGGCAACCCTTCCCCTTCTTGCCTCCCGTCCATCCACCTTCCTTCCTTCTCTTCCTTCCTTTCTGCAGACAAGACCAGCTTCTCGGTCTCTCTCTCTCTCTTAGTCACTAACACTCTTCTGTGTGCCCCGACCAGCATCCTTCAGCCGGTCCATCCCCTGTGGGCATCCGGCTGAACCCACCCAGCCGTGCCCCTCCGAGGATGCGGAAGAAGACAGGATGGAGAGGGAAGAGGGAAGAGGACAGAGGGGAAAGACTCGGCCGAAGCAGAAGTTCAGCAATCCTGAGGGGAAAAACATAAATAAGCCAGCTCACTACCTGCCCTCCACCTCCAGATAAAAAGATAGTAACAAATAAGCAACCTCTTTCTTCCATGCCTTGAGTGCCTATTCTCTGAAGCACAACTGGGGTCCAGTTTTCCTACTAGGGTAGCCACCTAAAATGGAAGATGGGGCTCCTTAAGGAGAACTTTCAGCAGGTTTCAGCAGAGTGGCCGAAATGACCAGATAGGCGGGGTAGAAATAGAATGAATGAATGAATGAATGAATGAATGAATGAATGAATGAATGAATGTCCCTGGGCTGCACCAGGATTAAAGGTAAAAGTGGCTGGGTCCCCTTAGCCATGGGGCCACCCAGTATGGCACTCCCAACCCCTGGATTTAGCCCAGGAGCCCACGAAATGAAAATCGTTGGTTCCCATCAAGGATTGAACTAGATCAAAACCCGAGGGTGATGTTTTGGGTAGCTCTGGAGCCAGAGGTTGGGAGTTCAATTCCCCCCCCCCACTGGGCCTCCTTGACAGGGGTAGGACTAGATGACCCATAGGTTCCCTTCCAGC